CAGGAAGTCTGTTTCTCATGCCCACTTTATGATTTCATATAATTGCACCCAGAGGGTCTGAGGAAAGAAATCTTACACATTATTTTCAATTTTCAGTTTGCTTCAGTTGGATATAGAGTTTGCTGTGAAAGATACCAAGTATTACACTTCATTTGAATGGTCATTATAGATCATTGGTCTAAGAGTGTAAATATTAACTAATTTTGAAATTCATCTAATTCAGTTGAACTGAAAGCTGTTCATACTTGTAATTCTTTGTGAATTACAGAAATGATAAAAGATGCATCTAAAGCTTGAAAGAAATGTTTGTATTACTTTGTATATTAAATAGTCCATGTCTGACAGTCAAGATTACTCTTTGTTTCATCTGTCTCACAGAAGAACTAGCTATGCAGATATATTTGAAGATGGAGAGTCATTTGTAGTTGAATTATGCCAATACCAATGGGATTCTCTTTTGAAAAGTTGTCCCTTCTTTCTTACCCTTTCTGTCTTATAATCATAGAATGGCTTGGGTTGGAAGGTGCCTTTAAAAACCACCTACTTTCAATCTCTCTAGCATGAGGAAGCGTCTTTCATTCACCAGACCAGGTTGCTCAAAACTCTGTCCAACCTGACCTTGAACACTTTCAGGGATGGGGCATCCACAGCTTCACGGGATATGACTGACACTCAAGTCCACATTTCTGGCTCATGTGTAATTTTTCATCTATTGATACCTCCACATCCTTCCCTGAAGGGCTGTTCTCAGCCAGTGTCGGCCTTTACTGATACTGATTATTGCCCTCTCCCAGATGCAGGATGTTGCACTTGGCCTTGTTAAACTTTGTGAGGTTCACAGTGATCATGAAAGTTGTTTTCCTATTTCAGGGTATTGTATCTAAGTTAAGAGAATTTAAGAATATTTATTGTCTATAGAGCATATAAGGGTTTGAGAACTTCTAGGTCTATAACAGCGCTTAGAAAATTTAGGCATAAATTTTAATAATATGTAAAGCAGTATTCTGCTATTCTGACTATTCTTTCCTAGTTAATGGGTGCTCAGAGTCCTGAAATTAACAGCGAGTTGTTTTGAGTATGATCCTGAATTTTCAGGGGTTGCATATATTTGTGAAAAAAGTGTTCTATAACTCTCTCTTCTTTATAGTTCAAAATGCATGTGAAAACTGCCCTAAGAGCAGCCTGTTACTTTATTTGAAGCAGCAGGTAAATTAAATTCATCCTATGTACCTCTCCCTTTACCCATGATGGGTACCCACTGTTTGCAGCAGTGCTCAACTCCATGAGTGAGCTACTACTGATGAAATAACTAAATCAGTGCAGAAAATTTCAGCTGAGTTACCTATGCAGTAGCAAGTTTTATTTTTCTAGGACTGCTCTTCAGATATTAAAAAAGTTTGTTTCTACTAGTTATGCCTTCTCATGATTATGCTATTGGTATTTTTTATCCTCTGATATAGAAGACAGAACTACTATTAAAACTGAGAATTTACTCTGTTACAGCTGCAGTACTTATGCTAAATATATTCATTTTGCTTTACTGAGAATGTTAGCCTGAAGTTCCTGCAAACTGGTGACATTTTGCTGTTTCGTTTGCTCTATCTTGTGTAGACATGGAAAGTTTCATTAAAAGATTTTTTTTTTTTTTTTTGGAGTTTAGCTTCCATTTGAACATATTCCTTCTGCTAAAAGGCTTTTTTAAAAATTATTTATTCAGACTTCACAAATGGCTGCTAGTTTTCTTTTTTTAAGACCAGAAAAATCGAGGTTTCTCATGTGAATCAGTTGTAAACTTTTCCAACAATGACATTGACCTGGTGGTTAATTTGACAGTGTTTTAATGAGACAGAAGTTTACAGTTGTCAGTTACTTGGCATACTTGCCTTGATTGTCTGCTTGATATATGTATGCTTGCTTTGTGGCAGTTCAATTTGACACTAACAACTGACCTTTTCAATTTTGAATTGACTTAACATTTCTGTTACTAGAAGACTGAATACATAAAAGGCTTCAGTATGGTGATTTTTGTATTTTTAGTGAAAGCTCTGTGTATCTACTTTTTTTCATTTGTTGAAAGCAAAGGATATTCTCCCTTTATCTTTCATAAAACTCCAATTTATGAAAAGCATACTTAAATGCCTTTGGTTCAAGAAAAGATTGATGATCTTAGTCTGAGAATATAACTACAGCCAGTAGTAATAGCAAATTTCTATTTTTGTTAAAGTAAATGTAGTTTAACATCTTAAGCCTTTGCTCAAGAAAATGCATGCAGGGCAATCTGGTACCTTGTATATTTATGGCAACTGAAAAAGTCTAATACTTTGGTCATTCAAGTCATGGAGGCAGGAATTATAGATCTTCTGACACAACCCATTTTGATGTATTTAAGACAGTGATGAAGATAACAACAAATTGTTGTTGCTTGCTTCTCATTCTTCTCGTGGAACCAAATGAATGCTTGTACTCTCTAATCATCAACTTTCATCACTGTTCCTGAAGCAGATGGTGTAACTAATGGAAGAGTTCTGTTCTTCTGTGCAGTTCTAGTGGCAGATGCCAGCTCCTTCTAATTTTCCAATTAATACTAAGAAGAGGTACAATGGTGAAACAAAGGTTCAATTTTTCTTTTCCCTTTTGTGTTCCTGAAAAATTAACACTGCATATCTCTGTGGAAGCCTGCAGGTTCATGCATACCCTAGGAGAAGTATTTTTGTGGCAAGGTAAAGGATCTTACCTATTCATCAGTTGCATTACCCTCTCAGTATTTTCAGCTGTCGGGGAATGTCATTTCATCTTTCTTTGTCACCTAATAATAGGAGCATGTGTGGGATGGTACAGTCTGTGATATTTTGGTTAGCTGAATTGCTTGATGACTCTTGTTTGTTTTGTGCTAATGAGGTTCTTCCCATAGCTGCTTACGTAATAAGGTCAATCAGAACAAAGCTCACCTTACCTAAATGTCAAGATGGTACATCTCAAAAATATTACTAAGAATTTTCTGTCATTAGTAAGGGAAATAATTGATGAATATCGCTATAGTCTCTCTACCAAAGCTCAATCTGCAGCCAGTTTTAATACTAGCATGGAGAATTTAACTAAATATGCATCATCTCAACAGCCTTTTCTACAAATGCTTACACTAAGAGTGAGAAAAGTCAAGTAGGAAAGTCTTTCTGCAGTTCGTCTTATTCAAATGGGCAAGATATGACACAAGATAATACTTACCATGTAGTTAGTACGGATTGTCTTGTCTATGCAAGTAAAAAGTTGCTCTGAGCTACTGAGATATACCTGATACTTTCCTGCAGAAAAGGACTGGAGGTGTGCTGTATGGTTTTCAACTGGGAAAAATGAAAGTACAGGCTGTGGAATCCTCAGAAAATGCATCCATAACTTGGTAGACATCACCTGTTTAAAATCGTAGAGGATTAGAATTTGAAGCTGTAACTTCTCACATAGCAGAGTGTATCTGATATAATTGGTCTATTTTCTCGTGAAGGAAAGCATTCAAAAGTTTGGTTTTGCAGTTGAACTGTATCATCATCCATGCAAAATTATTCCATACCTAAAATAATGTGTCAGTATCCATCAATATATGTTCATCTCTTAGATAACCAAGATGAGTACAATAGATTTCCCTACCATGTGGCAGCAGGACATTAAAAGCATTCAAAATGGAACAGACTCCAAAGACCTCAGAAAACTAACATGCTGGACTGTACTTAGCTGCAGTTCTTGAGGGATGAGGAAGGCAACAAAACATCTTACTAGACTGTCAGGTGAAGTGAAAGCTTTGCTCTTGGCTTTTGTCTGAAGAAAGGGAAGTGCCTCTACACAGCTTCACTACTTACTTGTTGTAAACAGTAGGATACTCTTAAGATGTAAGTACTATCTGCATTTTTAGAGGTGCCCCTTGGGGAAGAATTCTTAGAGATTGAAGTCCTCAGCACCACAACAAAATTTTGGTAGGTTCACCAGAGAGCTGTGTATTGCCCTATGCCTTTTGCTGTTAGAGCCTAAAATAATTTGACTTTTTCAGGAATCTTATCAATGGAAGACTGACAAAAGTACCTCTTCATGAACTGGTTTTAGTTAGAGACCATTGCCCAGAATGTTTCTCACAATGACTTTTGCCTTCCTAGGAAGCTAATTTGCCTATCTTCAGTAAGCCTGATACTACCTCAGCAGAAGTACTTCAGTTATTGAAGATGAGGCATATTTTTTGATATGGACTCAGCTTTTCCACCTTGTGTCCATGACTGAAAATTCAAGTCAGTCTGTTTACAGAATCTTATCCAAGGTAATTGAGTGTAAAACAATGCAGTTAGGGCCCACTCATCTGGAGTGCAAGCAGTAACTGATGGTTCTGTGTCTCAGAAGTTGACATTTATAGAGCTGTCAAGTAGAGCATCACAGGCATTTTCCCTAGGTGTTATGTACCTTGAGGGAATGGAGTTATATCGTGATAATTGCTCTTCAATTTTTTTCTTAATTAGGAACCTTGATGAATATTTATGAATCAATATTCCTTGGATTTGTGTGTAGTATGAATGCTTGTGGAGATAAACACTTGAAGAAAACAATTGCTTAACT